CCATGGTGCAGACGGTGCGCTTCTTCTGCATCATTTCGTCGTCCCTGTCTCTGAGACCGGAGAGCCATACTTCATACCACGCCAGCTCGCAGTCGCAAATCAATGGATTATCTAAAACAAATACGAAGTTTTAACTAAATCTTTAAAACCCAGGATCACGGCTGGTAGATGAAGTATCTCATATCCTCGGGTTAGAATTGCTTCAAAAATTCGAGTAGATCAAAAAAAGATTTAAATTGAATCAAATTTAATCAAATTAAAGAATCATTTGTTCAAGTTGATTGTCCAACGATTTGTTAAATAAAAAATGTGTAATTACCCATAATATCGACTACTCGTAAAGTATCCAATATCGGTTCCATTATCTCCTCGGGAATATGTTGTAGTTTGTTGTTCTGTAGGTTGAGCGTCTCCAGAGAATTGAGATTATCGAAACCCATTGTTGGTAATTGATGAATCCTGTACACGAACATATTAGATTATACATGTGAATTATGCTTACAATATACTACCACGACCACACAGAAGGCAGGAGTGAAATTGAAGCTATTCTACGTTGCGTCTGATGAGTAAGGTGCCGGGGACCTACTTTTAGTTTCTTACCACGATTGAATTGTTTTAGCTCCCGATATTTCGACACAGTTGCATGCGCCATGTTCACGGGCTGACTGAAGTGATGCGGTAGTGTGAAAAAAAAATCAATTCAATCGTGATAAGAAACCCGTATCTTACGAACATTACATTTGTAAAAACCACGACAGTTTAAAGTTATATATCTACTTTTAGTTCCTTTCCTATCCCACCATTTTCTTATACGGAAAGGATGGGGATGGAAAGTAGATTTGACGGTGGCGGAGTTACTTACATGTTCTTTTGCAAATTCAGGAATGTAATAGAGTCGCCGTATCCAGTAAATGCATCCTCACTGATGTAGGTAATGTTATTCGATCGCAAGTCCAAATGCCGCAGTCTATGTAATGGTCGCAGAGCTTCCGAAGGGATATCGTGTAGACGATTATCACCGAGACGCAAGTATTGCAGGTTTTCTGTACAAAAAAAGTTTTTGACAACCGTAATAACTATGTAAAATACTGCTGTGGTGCTATACATACTGTCGCAGAATAATTTGTTAAAAGGCTTAGGCAGTATAAACTTGTTTTAATATATCTTAAATATCACAAAATAATATTAATTTGTTACCTTCAAGACCAGCGAATGCTTTATCGTCGACTCTCTGTATTTGATTTCCCTCCAGTTCCAAAGAGTTTAAGAATGTTAAATGAGAGAAAACCTGTGCCGGTACTTCCCTTAACTGATTGTGTGCCAACCCTAAAGAATCTAGATTTCGTAAACCTGTGAAAAATTTTATAGAGTTAACAATTTGTACGTACTCAATAAAAATAGTCAAAATCAATTTAAAATATTGACATATTACAAAAGTCTTGGAGTTAAAATTGCGTATTTTTTATTTGGATAAGGATAGGAAACCTCAACAGCAAAACTGATATAGTTACAAGGATTTAAAAAATACGAACCTGCAAAATCACCTTCCGAAATTGAAGTAATCCTGTTTTCCTGCATTTCCAATTTTTTCAGATTTTCCAATAAAGCTAATGCCTTCTGGGGTACTGCTGTCAATTCGTTACCGCCGATATTCAATCTTTTAAGTTTCCTGTATAAATAAATTATAATATAATATAAAAATTCGTCTAAATAACATTCAGATTCTTTCAGCCGTTTCGAACTAAGTTCTAAAACATTCAGACATCCATCCTTTCATTCAATCTTTCGCATTTATATTAGACAACATCTTTTGCCTCCATCCGCAATAAATTAAAACAAAAACAACAAAAGTGAGTAGCCTATATGTTCTTCCAGACTATCATTAATATTTAGACCCATTTCCAAACCAATTTCATCAACGTATATTCAGAAGTTTAGACTACAAACTCTAACAAAACATCTAAACTTTTGTATTTACAATATTAACAAGGTAGTAACGAATAATGTTTAATAACAATTTATATGTTAGAAATTCAAAATAAGTAAGTAATCTACTGCGATAATATTAAAAGAACAAAAGGGAAGCAAATTGAACTGTGAGGTGACTGACTCTATCGAGTGCAATTCAATTTGCCGCTACGCAGACTATCAGAGTACTTACTTTTCCAGCCCCTTAAAAGCTTCAGCGTCTACCACTGATATTCTGTTCTCATATAGAGTTAATATCTCTAATGTATCGAGACCGATAAAAGCTCTGTTATGAACCGCAGTTACCTAGACACATGAAAATGATAAATTATTAACAAATTATAGTATTACATACACAACCAAGATTCAAAAAATTATAGAAGAGGCATAGTTGACATTTCACTTCATACATTTTTCATATAATAATCACTAACGCTATCTATTGGTAGCTTCAATACGTCAATATAATGAATTTCATTAAAATTAATTGCCAATATGTGTCATTAAATAATATTTAAATGTTTGCATTTAGTTTACTTTTTAGTAAAATATGGAGCTTATTAAAATTTTGTAAAATGATTACATGTACAATAACAAAGACACGAGATAGCGTACTAAACTTGACAACTGATATAATACCTTTTAAAGAAAGTACCGGTGAAAAAAAAATGTTCACTATCCCTCGTCTATACATGATTTAAATGTCTTTGGGTTTTAAAGTAAATATGAATATAAAATTTGTTTTTTTTTTACTCTCTTTATCCAAAAGGGACTTGAAATGTTTATCTTATGTCTGTTTCTAACCAAAAGAAAAACACCACACGAAACTCGTAAGTAGGTCACAGACAGCTGGTCGGGATATACATAAATACATATTCAAATTACTTCAAATAACTTCGTGACTGTGTAACATTAGTCACATAGAAAATTGTTCAGGATTTTTACCGAGTTATGCACTTAAATTGCAAGTCTAGCCACAATAGAGGTAAATATATACCACGCAAAAAGTGGACTAGTAATTTTTAAGTTGCTTTTTTCGATTTACATTTTTAGATCAGGTTGTTACAACAATCGCTACTATTTACTAGTAACAAATAACTGTAACACATAGATTTAAAGCATCTAATTAAATAGTACTTTTTATTGGTACTACTAGGTATTGAGATTGTAGTCAAAATGGTGACATAGGGTAGTCCTATGTTGCCGTAACAATGTGAGCCACAGGGAGAGTTTAAATGCCGAACGTTCCAGTGTGCAAGAAGATCCCGGAACGTTCGACTATGTCAGTTGAGGACGGCCACCGACGGGGTTTTAACAGGGCAGATCCTACATGGCCCTGCCTTCCCCCAGAGGGAATCTTTGGAATATTCCCCCCCCCCCCGACACCAAAAAAAAAGGTATTGAGACTGTACAATTACTTTTATTTTAGAAGTTGATCTTTGTAAGGGAAGTTATAGACAAATGGAACATATATCTAGAGGGATTCAAGTATTGTGTGTCTACCCACATTGTCTACAATCACTACTGATTTGTTCAGAACTAGGAGAAATTCTGTTTAATCGTACAAATTCCTTTTAACCCTTTGAATTAAAAGAATTAACATACCTTGTTATGATTCATATTGAGTATGAGTAAATGATTGAGATGCGTAAACGACGATGTTGGTATAGTCGCCAGGCTGTTTTGGGATACGTCGAGTTGTGTCAACTTGTTGCCTGAAAATTGTTATAGCATTGTACTCTATAGCTCGAAAATTTTGAATAGTTATACTTTATTCATTTGTTTTATTTATTATAGCTGTTACTCGCGACTTCGTCCGTGTGAAATTAAAAAATATAACTAGCCTATGTTACACACAACAAATTACTTTTCTAAGGGTGAAACAATTTTTGAAATCGGCCCAGTAGTTTTTGAGTTATTTCTATATATACAAAAATACAAATCTTTCCTCTTTATAATAGTACAGATTATTTTTTGGACTTCAAATATGATACTTACCAATAGAACTGAGCGAGGAATCTTCAATAACAGCCAAGCTACTATTATGTACGGTGAGGTGACGTATGTCAAGCCCTAGGAAAATATATGAGGGAAGCTTCGCTAAGTTGTTGTGCCGAAGTTTCAGGTAGAATATTATCATCGGCTTTGATCGTAGCGTGTTCATTGCCTGGAAATAAAATAAAGTTAGCAATCTTCGCTACATATTCAACGATATTATGTTTACCGTTGGAATATATTTATTACATTTTATACGTTACGTAAAGAGTGATATTTACAGTAAAAGTAAACGAATAATTTCATATACTGGAGTCGTAGTCAAAACCCTGAACAATAACTCTTCAGAGCAAACCATGCTTGTAAAGAAAAATTAAAATAATTGAACCTTACAAAATTACAAAATCTTCACCAGTAATAGAAGTGTTTCGTAACACATTTTGTCGCGTTATTAGTTACCTTTTGTATGTGCTGTTGTTCAGTGAACTCGCAGAGTATGTCGAGTCCGTTTTTCTTGACGGTGCAGCTGCAGGGCGTGATGGTGTTGGAGGCAGGACACTGCTGCGTGCCCTGGGATACCACCGGCCGTGCGCACAGCGCCACGCACAACACTAGCCAGCGCACCAACATTGTTACCAGCCTGTTAGAAAATAAGTATAAAAAATGTGAAAAACAAAAGCCTATCTGTCTTCAACAGTGGCCTTAACCTTACTTGATCGAAGCATCATATCTTTACAGAAAGCATTCGTTTAGGTACTTTATAGTGGAGGGTTTTATGCGGGGTGTAATATATTTTTACTGCTTATCCGCTACTTTAATGCTCTCTCTTTGACCATCATAAAGACTGCAAAGTAGGATCAAGTTTTTAGAAATCAAAAACAAAAAACAAAGTGCTTACTTTTACAAATTGTTAAAGTATGATCTTCTTGGCGAGGTAAGTATTCAGTTGTTTTGGATACTAGATCATGTTCAAGCCGTTACTCGATAGTCCTGTTAAAGAAAATATTGTTATAAAAACATTAAAAGACAAGAGTTACATATTTTGCTCACAGATATTATAAAATCTTGCGTTTAAAATATTCTAAAGTTCATTCTTATTCTCGTTTGATTTTTTTTTGATAACCGAATTACAAATATCGTTAACATATTTAAATTGGTGAATAATTAACGAAAAAAACATTAAAATAAAAGCCAATTAGCCGAGTTTCGGAACTCTCCAGTTTCCTGTAGTGGGAATTCAAATGCGTCAAAATAACGGCCTAAGCCGGAGCTGCCTAAAGAGACCCGTTGGGACCAACTTAAAAGCTTAGCCACTCGCATCGTACGAAATTCGAAAAATAACAAAGAATTCTATTAGATTTTGATAGCAGTATTTTTTTTTTGTGTTAATAGTCTTTTAAGGTTTTTATACTTTAAGATTAGTTGTATTTATGTTTACGAAAAAAAAGTAGTAAAAAATAATAGATTAATACTTCTCTAAGCTTTTCTTTTTCATGGCTAACCAAAGTATAGTTTAAAAATTATGAATATTTTCAAAAACCTTAATAAATATCGCGGTTCCAATGATGTGTTTCTAAGAAAATTGACGGTTTTTTAATCTATAGAGGTTATTGGTTTAGAAAACAAATCAAGAGAACGAATCGCTTTCCTCTCCGCGGGGAAATTTAAAATAACTGAATGATTCGATTATTTGCGTGAATCAAGGGCTCGGAAACTCATTGAATATAAGAGCCTGAATTTATTTAAGTGGAAAGTACTTTCATGTCTTCAAAGATATTTTTATGCTTTTGAACAAAGAAAAATAACAACATCGATTCTTCGTTTACTAATATTGTGTTAGATTTTGAGCTATAATTGATTTGCATTGTTTTGCAAATCAAACTAAGAGCGCGCTTACACCTTTGACTAAACTATCGCACGACTGTTTAGTCGCGCTGTGATTACTATGAGCTTAAATAGTGCACACACTACTCGATTTTTAGTTGTCCAACTAAACTGTTTAATGGGCTGCGAAACAATCGACAATCGTACGACAGTTGTACGATAGTTTAGTCAAAGGTGTGCGCCCGCTCTTGTGTAAGAAATCATTGAAGGTATCAAAGCCATCAATTTGGAATCAATTAGTGTCATATCACTTTGGATTATTTTGCCACACCCGTATCCCTCTTTGATATACGAATAATTTATTAGAGCACTTTAGAAGTATTTTTCCATTAGCTGTGTTCTTTATTCATTTGTGGTAAATATATTGCGAAAATGTTATAAACTTAATGTTTAATTTGGGAATTATCTAGGATTAAACTGGTAATTAGGGCATTATGAGGAACAGTATAGTACCTAGTGTAACTGCTAAGTTCACATCGTAATTAATAACTAAATCAAAAATAAAAAGAACCATACCTATAGAAAATATGTAATCTTAACTTTTTATATTTTAATATGAAGGTTTTTGTAAAAACACTGTCACTTTTAATCACAACACTAAATAACTATGTTAATGTTCCATAAAACACTTTCACTGTAATGATATATTTCAATAATATTGGTCTTATTTGTGTATATACGCATAACTTCTGCGCATATCATCGCGCGACTGTCCAGGCCCCTTCGGTTGTTCATCCATTATCATTTGATGGGCCATCTCCGTTCCGATCCGTGTCTCATTGTGCGAACGAGAGAGTCGTAACGTACGTGATACTTCACGTCACATGTCCGAACGGTCAACGATTACATGAGACACTGAACCGTGAACCACATACTAGTACTAGTTATGACATTATAGTCTATAGCAGACCCTTAACATAGACATTACCAGTTATCATGCATTTACGTGGACCTGTATGAGCTAGCTGTTCCCGTGCGGCTTCATCCATATAAAACTATAAAAACTTTATTTTATTGTTTACATTTCTCAATTGCAAATGTCAAAATTACGTTTACCATAAAAACCTTGCTTCCTTAATGTTGTCTTGTAGTTTATGGTCTCTTTCCCAGATGACGATTTTTTCTAATTTATGTAGCCCCTAAGTTTAATAGCGTGAAAATATATAGCCAAGAGCGTGTCGAGAGTAGGGCTTTGTATTAAAGAAATATAAATTATTCAAAAATATGCTGTGATTGCTGACCTCCTACGCCACAAAGTAGTGTGTGTTTACGCTTTATGAATTAGTAGACATAATCTCCTTGAAAATTATCTTTGTAGATAAGTGAAAGTTTCTAGCTTCGAGTATATCACTGGAATACATTGCGGAAACTTTACTTTACACACTTTACTTTACTAAAAAACATGAGTGATACACCGAAAATGAAAAAAAAATCCATTAAAGTGGAGACGTTGAAAGCTATAAATCAAAGAATACTGGCATAGAAATGTCCTTGACGCTTCAACCTTAGCCTCTTGATAACTCGAGACAGCGGCGTAATGACCTGATATTGTGTATTTTCTTTTTCTTATCTAAAAGACAATTTCTTCAAGCTTGAACCTAATACTATTGTTTCAATGCGAACAGTGAAAATGGAGATACCATTCTTGAATATTTTTCATTACAGTCATCATTATTAATTGGAGTGCTTTTATAATTTAAATCACTTAGTCAAAATTGTTACCTCAATAGAGTTGTGTTCACTGGGAGCAATTACGGATTTGTTAAAAATTAAAACAATTTTATGTAGTGTGGGCCAATATTCTGCTTAGTATAAGCCAATAACATACTTAAGAGTTAGGAAATATGTGAAGTATAGCAGAAGTAGGAGGTCTACCTAAATAGCCAGTACCTTGCATGTGATACAAATTTCTTATATTTTCCACTAGCTGTAGCTCGCGACTTCGCTCTCGTGTAATTAAAAAAAGCGTAGCCTACGTTACTTACTAATAACAGCTTTTTAATTATGACAGAATTTTTGAAATCGGCCCAGTAGTTTTTAAGTTATTCCGATACATACAAAAATACAATTCCTCTTTATAATATCAGTATAGATAGTATAGGTTTGACATGTTTTTATGATGATTTATACCACATATTTGAATATTATGGTTACAGGATTAAAAGAAATTCATTTTACATTTTTCACATGGCGAGAGGTCAAACTGAGTGTTATTAGGGCGAGCGTGTTATCGCGTCACGTAACAAGTGTTGATTAAGGTCATTGTTAAACCACTTCCTGGGTTGAAGTGACCTTGTCCTAAAATTAGGGTCTTATTTAACAATTATTTTGTTACATTGACATAATTACTAGCTATTCAAATGACATTTTAAAAGTTAAACTGAATATTAAGAATTAACTTTAATCGAATTCCTAAAATTAGAACATCATCAGCTAAGCGTACTTCGTACTAATATTGTAGATGCTAAAGTTAAGATGGATAGATGTTCATCTAAGTATCTTTACAACTTAATAATCTCTATGAAGTTTGGCAATTTGGCTTTATTATAATTGCAAATTGAACACTTGTCTAACACGACAAAAGAACTAAAGAGGGTTTTAAAAATCACCTTGGTTTAAAGTGTAACATATGGTCTCACCAAGTCCTCCTATTAGACACTAGCTGTTTCCGTGCAGCTTCATCCGAAATTATAAAATTTTTATTATGTCATTCACATTTGTGAAATGTCAAAATTCAAATGCATAAATGACAACTTTGTTTCCTTGATATTGGCAGCTTGTAGTTTATGGTTCTTTTCTCACATGAAGTTTTCTTCCGTGAGTGTAGGTTTTTTTATTTAGAATTATTCAAAAATATGTTGTGATTGCAAACATCCTACGCCACGAAATATGGAAGTATAGAGTAGAGATATACATAGATATAAAATTATAAACAATAATTGGAAAAGTACTTACAAAAAGCAATTACTAGAAATTCGTATGTTTGTCTACAATGTATATTCGTCTATCATTGTACTGAAAAGCCCTTCAAATCAATTATTCATACGTAGGAATGTCATTAGGAATGTCCTTCGTTTGTACCATTAGACAGGGGTATATTATTTCTTTCCTTCGATCAGAATATTCAAGTGTATTATTAAAACATTTTCATAATTACATTTAAACTAGCTTCTGGCCGCAACACCATACTCGCGGAATTAAAAAAAAAACAAAAGCGTGTTGCCTATGTGATCTTCCTTTATTTACAACTATACCAAATTTCATCGAAATCCTTTTAGGCTACAGACTCTTTAAATCTCTATTAGAGTTTGTAGTCAGATAGATGTTTATCCATCCATCCATCTAAACTCTCGCGTTTATCATGCTATCATTTAATCTACCATCATTAAAGACTGTGTCGATATCGACGGAGTCAACTCCGGTTCTCCCTGCTTTGTGCCTTTTTTGACATCCTGATATCGATGCAGACCTCTTCTTTTACCTGTTTTATGTGTGTCTAGTTATTTTCTCTTTTATCTTTCTGTCCATTATAGTTGTTCAGTACTAGGCGCTATAGCATTGAGCATCTTTTTATGTATGACTAGCTGTTCTCATGCAGCTTCATCCACATGAAATTGTGAAAATATTATTTTATTGTTTACATATGTCAAATTATCAATAGCAAATGTCAAAATGACATGACATGATAAACCTTAGCAATCTTGCTTTCTTAATGTTGGCAGCAACTAATGGTCTCTTTTCCACATTAGGTTTTTCATCCAAAATATTTGCCCCTAAGTTTAATGGCGTGAAAATATATAGCCTAAAGCGTGACGTAAGTGTAGGGCTTTTTATTAAAGAAAGAATTATTCAAAAATATGCTGTAATTGCTAATCTTAGGCAACAAAGAAGTGTGTATTTACGCTTTATTATAATAGCATAGATATATGACAATATTAACCGGCCGTTTCAATTCGTACTTCATGCTGTCTTGCCACATATATATGTCACAGACAGTCTTTTTTCTTACTTCTATTAAATATTTATTGGAGTTACCATTACACTAAGTATACAAATCAATTACATTACACGTCATGTATTCCATCATGTTAATTTATATTCATGAT